CTTTCCTCTCTCCTGCTCTGAAGCATCTTAAATATGATGTTTCACATGACTTATAGCTGTCCCTTAACAAAATAAAACTTATTTGTAAACACCTCCTTTGGCATTCCATCTCTGAGCAAACTCCGTACAGAGGTATTAGCGTCATAGCTGAGGAGTTCAACATGTAGTTACTCCTGTTTCTGTTCTCTCCTTTGTGTTCAGTAAGACCAACTGCTCTGTGGCTACTCATAACCCCATTCTTTCTCTCTGCTCTGTTCCCTCTGCCTAGAAAGCTCTGGTCACACATCCCTACCCACTAAAACTCATGCTCTTATCAAGCTCAATCTCAAACGCAGTTCTGCTTTCTCCTACCCCATCAGATGCTTTGGTTCCGCGGCAGCATAGTTAAGAGAATGTTCTTATGCCATTTGGTGTCATGTTTCCTGCTCCTCTTCTGTTAGCTGTTGGGATCTTACTTTTAGATATGTTAGCACAGGCAAAGTTCCCTGCTTGTAGAGGGTGCCAGATCCAGAAACAGAAGAATGGATGGTAATGAGGCCATGTCTAGAAGAATGTGAAAAATCCACCCATCCTTTCATTTGTTTATTGGCTCTTTTCACACAAGTGTTTTTTGCGTGCCTAGAGTATGTAAGGTACTGTGTTAAGAACCCGGGATACAGAGACTGGATGACACAGTGCATTCCAGTTCTCCAGGAGCTCATAGTTACATGGAGGAAAAGCCACATAAATAATTACACAGTAAAAAAGTATAATAGAAGTGGCTTCAGAGTAAGGTCTGAGAATGACAAGACTTGACCTCTGTTAGGGTGGGCAGGCTGGAGGTGAAAGGACGGCAGTGGAAGGAAAACCGTGCAGCTGGGAAGGCCATTCTATAATTGGAAAGGATTGGTTTGGGTTTTGCAAACTGAAGAGGAGTTTGCGTGGAATATAGGGAGGTAGGGAGGGGTGGAGATGGAAGGGAAGGGTACAAGAAGCCTCTGTCCTTGCTGTGAGGGGCCCAGCGCACTCAGGAAAACTGGTCACCAAAGAATTATTGGTTGTCTTCAAGTGAAACATCATACATAACAGAATCCTTCAAACGCTATGAAAGAAAACAGAGAGGAATAATGGAAGTGGAAGGTTGTTCATCCATTCTTCTTCTTTTTCTTTCTTTTATTTTAACGTTCTGTAGAGAAAGTCTGCTCTCGCAGTGAGCTTCCTAGCAGCGTTCCTCCTCCTGCTGGTCGTGCGCCTTGTAAATGAGGTCAACTTCCCATTGCTGCTGAACTGCTTTGGACAACCTGGCACGAAGTGGATACCCTTCTCTTACTCGTACAGGCGGCCCCTCCGAACTCACTATGGATACATAAACGTGAGGACACAAGAGGTAAGACCGCAGAGGGGGATCCGGGATGTTGAGGGTATCCATGGTAATGGCTTTTCTGCAGGAGCAAGATGGCTTCCAACTCACTGAAGTTTGTCTCTCTCTCTGCCCTGGAGAGCTTCTTTGGCTCCCTGAACATAATTTCTGTTTTCTGATTCTTAGTTGTTTATAAATATCTGAAATCTGCCACCCTTCCTACATCCAATCTGATTCACTGGCTTCACAGGAAGTCAAGGGAGCCATTTCCTGTTTTCCTGGTGGGGTGTGGAATAACATACATCTTTCCATTTAGAAACTCTGATCAGCAGCCACCAGCTGGAGAACTGGCTGGCTTTATTTCCTATAGGTCAGCTGGTTGGGGAGAACTCTTTATAGGACTTTAGAAAAGCATTTATACTCTTTAAAACTCTGTAATCCTTAGACCTGGAGCTAGAAAAGGCCAAGCCGATTTTAAAATTTGTGGTGGCTGCAGAGATAATAGGATTTAAAGAGTTTTCAAATTTAAAGGGGTTAAAATCATTTAAATCCCATAATCACTGAACCTTTAAATCTTTATAGCCAATTGGTAGTACAGGAGAGGACAAAGGTATATTGGTGGCTAGAAAGTGAACAGTATGTTAGCATATTTGCAAGAAAGCATTTGTCTCATAAAGCAAAATAAAAAATAACCTCACAAAATATGTAAAGTATATGAAAGTGGTTAATACAATTGTTTTCTCTATTTTTATGGAGTGGGATGAGTGGGAGGTTGATATGCAAAGATGCATATTCTGAACTTGAAGCTTGTCTGAAGTTGTTCGTGACAAAGGCTAGTCGTGTGTCCACAGACATCATTGGACGGAGTTTTGGATCAGAGCTCATGGAAAGGTCATTTTGCAAAAAGACTAGAGAGCAGGGCCATGGGTGGAATAACCCTCCTGTGCTGTGAGTTATTCTCAGCATTCTGGGAAGGATGTTAAAAGCTGGCTTTGTCCATCCCGTTTCATAGACAATATCGTATCTGAGTCATTGCTTCTGGTTAATTTGACTCTTTGAAAATTGTTTCTGTATCTGCAGGATTTATAGGCTTTTGATGAGACTTTTATAGTTGGGGGAAAAAAGGCACCATTAATAAAATATAAATTCTTAGGAGCCTTGTTTGATGTTTATCCTTTAATTGGTTTTAAGTTAATTTTTTAAAAGTATTGCTTGAATTTATTCAATGTGCTAATAAATTGATTACTTATATAAAAACCTATCTCTTGGAGAAGAGTTTATCTCCCTCTTGTCTTTTCTTACTTTGATTTCTGGCTGTCATTTGATAGTCTGTCACTTGACCGCATGGAGTTAATCATTTCACAAGTGCCTGTCACAGGCTGAAAATAAAGCATGTGGCTAAAGCGTCTCACAAACTACTCTCATGAGGGAAATCCTGCCAGATAGCAAAGACCCTTTCATTTGTTTAAATATTAATGAGTTGGATTTTGGAGTTTTGAAAGGAAAACGTGGCCTAGGGAGCAGCTGTTTCATTAGTCATGTTAACCAGGCCACCTCTGAAATGATTTTGATATCATTTTTAATAAGTGACTTTATTAAAGGATATTGAGTATTATTTTGTTCCTGAAGAGGTAATTTTAGAGGAGAAAAACATGGTTTTGGGGAAAGACTTTAGGCTTTGGAGGTAGACAGGTACGGTTTAAGTCTCAGTTCTGACACTGACTTTCAAAGCAGTGTGTTTACTTCTAAGTAAATTTTATAACCTCTGAGCCTCAATTTCCTTATTTGAAAAATAAGGATAACTACATCAACCTAGCAAAATTATTACGAGGTTAAAGAGGGCAAGGTGCATGAGATGCCCAGCTTCAAGTTGCTATATGAAGGTGTTACTTTTGCTTTCTTTGTACTTAACCAGCAGACAATGATGTAGGTAACACCACAACACTGTAGCGTGGACTCCTAGGATTTATATTTAAATTTTAAAGAATCTGGACTTAGGGAATTAAACATGTGAAAGGGTTCTCAATCTCATTAGTAATCAGGGTTTTATAAATCAAAGCCACGATGAAAAAAATGTTAAAAGCACAAGGAAGTATTATCATATACAAAATACCAGATTGGCAAAAAATTGTCTGACAATACCAAGTTGTTGACGAGGATATGGAATAATAGACCCTCTTATATACTAGTAATGGAAATGTATATTAAAATAACCATTTTGGGCAGGGAGGAAACAGCTTCATTGTTTTATCTAGTAAAGTCAAAGATCTGTACACTGATAGCCCCAGCAATTCTAGTCATTGATACCCACACTGGAGATGCCCGGGAACTTGTGTTCCAGGAGGCCTGGACAGCACATGTGGCCATATTGTTCCCAACAACCAAAAGCTACAATATACACAGTTATTGATCCCTGGGCGAATGGATTAAGATTGTGCTGTTTGCACTGAAATACCACACGGACATGACAGGAGGAAACTGCAGCTGTACACACGTATGTGACAACATACAGGATATGGGAGCTTATGCAGGGTGATTCCATTATAGGTCACAAGAAGGGGCACAATAAATGATTTTGCGTAGGGACGAGGGACGTGTGGGGTAAAACGGAAAAGCAGAAAAGAAAGCAAGGAAATGATCACTTTAGAAGTGGGAAAAGAAATCACCTCTGAGACCAGTGTGCAGAATATGATCAGGTGTGTTTCTGGGAATTCCATAACATGCTAATTAATCCCATTAAATATGCTCTTAATCCCATTGGAGGTCACACAGGTGTTCACAATTCTAATTATTAAGTATATATTTATGTTTGGAGACTTTCTTTGGGTCATTTTAAATATTAAAAATAGATTCTAAGCCCAGGAAGGATACTTGTTTACCACTTACTATGGGTCAAGAATCACAAAAAGCATTTTTCCCAGTTTAGCAGCAGGAAACAGCTAAAAGGAAGCAAAGGGACATTAGCTGTAACATCTAAACCAAACTACGAATGTTTGAAGTAGGCCATTTTACTTTATGTGAACATTAATAGATATATAGGCAACTGTTTTTTTAGTTCTGGTCTATGCATGAGAGAAAGAGAGACTCCATATTGTACCATGAATGCAAGTATAGAGAAGAAAATTTGCTTGGATGTTGGTAACTATGATAGCATTAGAATTGTCAAAGAGAATGACATTTTCTCCCAAACTCAAGCAATTCTGGGCTAACATGGGAAGAAAATAAAATTTGGTGACTTTCTACCACTCTCTTCATCATTGATTTCATCCTTTACTCTGGCAGTCCTACTCCAAGCCCCACATCTGTGCCCCATTCTTGCTCATAAATGATTGTTCATCAGTTCAATAATGGCCATTGGAACAGTCCTCCTCAGAGGTGGTTTTGTTAGATGAGAGATAGGATGAGAAAGCCTTTAAGAGACAAATAATATAGCTAAAAGGATAGGTGGTGGATCCAATTTTCTGGGGCAGATAGTTTAAATAGTGACCCTCAAACCATGCTTTGCAGGGAGGCACACATTTCTCCCTCTGTCCACATTATTCTATTCTAAGTCTGAGCAGGTGCAATAGCCTTGGCTGGACTGAGTCAGGTGATCACAAAGTTGATCTACTTGCTTCAAGATCTTGGTCCTCAAGATTTTCCCAGAAATGTTTTCTCCTAAAATGTATATGTTTTCTGCAAACTACTGCACTTCCTAGTATTGTTTTTAACGCATGCAGGCATGCCAGCAATGATTCCCAGATCTAGAGCATCTGCAAATGGGATTATTGTTGATGATGGTTTTATTGGCCAGTGGTCCAGCTGCGTCAGATGTTGCCGTAACTAGACATAGATTTTATGAGCTAAAATATTTGTGGAAAAAAAAGTCTTTTCCCTACTGTCTAAAAGCAAGGTAGGAGGCAGCAGAATTAAGTCAAAAATCCAGTTGACAATGTGAAAGGGAGCTTTGCTTAGGAGCAAAATCTGATTGTTTGGTTATCTTTAAAAGCTGGATGAGTTCTGGTCCCTTTGGACCAGCCCAGCTGGGAATAGATGCTGTCTCGTGAATCTGTGGCAGCCTGTCCTGAAGCATCACATCTAGTTCAAGGTCCACTTCATTTTATCAACTCTTCTGGTTGTCAAATAAGATGTTCTCCAAATAAATACAAACAGCAAAAGTAGAAGCCATACAGGAAAGATAAACACGTGACCTTGTTTGTATTTCAAGTTGTTTGAGTGTTTTTTTCCTGGTCCAGGCCCATGATAAGGAATATGTTGCGAAAACTGTGGCAATGATGGTAGAGGACGTGATTGAAGGGACTAAAATACCCCTGCCACTGTTGTCATGATAATCTAAATATAATGTGGTTGGTGATGGGTCCCACTTTTGACCCAGTCCCTCCTTCCAGTCTCACGCAGGGCAAGTTCAGGTTCTTTCCTTTGGGGGAGCAAAAGTGTTGAGAGCAGGGAAGCAAAATGAGTGCCAGGGTGAGTGCTGAAATTCTGAAAGTCTGCGCTGCCCACAGAACCCCAAATTCCTCAACACTTAATGTTGGAGCTGACAGCCACCACAAGGTGGTGTCAAACTGAAGCTTGCACCAGGGGCAATTTAGATTTTGTGACAGATCTTATGCTCCTCTGCCATATCACTACTGTGCCAGGGATGCACCCACACATTTTATCAGGACTGAACATGGAGACCCCACCTGTAGCATCATGGCAGAGGTACCGTATTAATAACTGACCTTGGACGTGATAAAAAGCATATGCTACTCATGTGTGTTTGCAAAAAACCCAAAGAAACATATCTGTGCTTGGCAAAATCTTACGAATCCTTAACACAAAATTTAACTATTCATTTAAAATTATTAATTGTAGCAGATAGGGAAGGAGTAAAGCATGAATGTACCTCAGGGCGTGGTTCAAGGCAATTGTGTTTTTTTTCCTGTTGAGATCATGGCAGATTTGGGGAAAGAGAAGAAAATGAACTATAGGCTAAATCCAAATTGCAGTTTCCTACCATGCATGGACATCATCATGGTACTGTC